TACAAAGAAACATTGTAAATGCTCTCATAGATGTATATATATATGCTATAACAAAATGCTGAAATAAGGTGCCAATAAAACACGTGCTACTCGTCATTCCAAAGTGAAATAATGGACCAAATGTAAGGACCTAACAAAAGAGGTGGTAAAATGACTTAGCCACTTCCCTAAATTGAGAATGAGTGAGTCTGAAGCTGAAGTAGGTTGGCAGCTGGAAAGCAGAGAGATGATTGTTTTCCAGAGCGTTGTTGGTGAACTGTGAGTCACATCCACGACCTTGCAGGGGAGGAAGGTATCATCCACTTGCCTCAAGCCTGGGGCTTAGGAGTTCAAGGCCATCCCTTGGAAGGGATTCTGTAAGGGCTTAGACTAACAACTGGGGCTGCTGGCAGGTGGCTGGGTAACAAGAGGGCTGCATTTTGAAGTAAGTAGCTTCTTTTCTCCCAGTGATGGATTCAAAGTGAATGTTCACCATAGACTAGGATTGGACCCATGCGCACAGAAGGCAATCTAGTCTGTCTAAGATTCTGCCCCCAAGGGCTTCCTGGAGGGGCAAAGAGCCCTCAGCAGAAAGAGGTTGAAGTCATGAGTCAGAGTCCCAGTGGGAAGTAGTGGAAGTAGACATAACCTGAGAGATATACATTGGGGAGCTTCAGGTGAGAAATCCCCAGTTCTGGTGAAAAGTGGTGACATATCCAAAGAGCTTTGTGATGGATCCAAGAGAAATCCAGCTTCGATCACTTGCCAGATTATGAGATCAATAATTCCCACTCACAACAATAACTGCCTTTCGCTTCTTCTCCTTCCTCCTGACCCAGCCCTGGATGATTCAAAGGTTAAAATTAATGACTTAGTGGAGGAGGGGGAAGGAACTGACCTCTATCTCTTTTCTACTCAGCAGACCTCAGCTGGAGGAAAGGAGATGCTGCGGATGAAGTTTGGAGTTTGCATTATTATGGTGGACCATAGGGTATTTGTTATTGAACTGAGACTAGGTACTACAGTGATTGATTGCTTTTTTGGTCTATCAGTAGTCTTTGGACCTGACTTAGTTTTTCTGCAAAAAGGACACAGACTTAAGAAAGCTGTCTGAGTGAATATGAATGGTCACTAGTGAAGAAGAATGAACATGTATTTTGTAGACAGTCTTTAACCTCAAGTCCTGCTTATTCAACCTCATGGTTATAGCAGCACAGGCAGGAGGCAGACATTAGCCAGCCACAAAACTTCATCCAGACAATGACATGTGAACTGGGCCCTTAAAGATGCTGGGGAATGACTAGGCATAGAAAAAAGAAAGGTGGAAAAGCATGTCTAAATGAGTGGGAGTGTGAAATCCCATTTTATTTGTGACGCTGGAGAACAGGAGATAAGGATGAAAACTTAGGCTGGACACAGACTGGAAACAGCCTCGAATTACATGCTAGGGAGTTTGGCTTGTCCCCTCGAGGCCTACATAGGAACCCATCAAAAGTCTTGAGTACGGAGGATGCATGTTATAATTTCTATTAAGGAATGATGGTGTCATCTTTTGTCAGCGGCATCCTTTTGTATGATTCTTGACTCCAACATCCTCATCACAGGAAGTCTGCTACCATGAGACCGTTGATTTCAATTCCCCTGTTCTCAGTCTATTTCACCTTCTCTATAGGTTACTGAAAATGCTTCCTACCTCCGTAAGGAAAATATCTTAATACTCCTATCTCCTTAACTTCACTTTAGGTCAGCAGTGATGGACCAGTAAATATGATCGTGAAAATTAAACCAGCTGTTATAGACTGGAAGACAAGGAAGAAACTTGTGCTTGGTCTGAACTTACTAGATTTTAATGTATGAAAATCATTCATCCAGGACTTCCCTGGTGGTGCAGTGGATAAGAATTCACTTGCCAATGCAGGAGACGCAGGTTCAATCCCTGATCCAGGAAGATTCTACATGCCGCAGAGTAACAGGGACAGTGTGCCACCACTGTCCAAGTGCCCTAGAGCCCACACGCCACAACTACTGAGCCCACGTGCAACAAATATTGGAGCCCGTCACCTGGAGCCTATGCTCTGCAACAAGAGAAGCCACTGCAATGAGAAGCCCACATGGCTCAATGAAGAGTAGCCCCTGCTTGCCACAACTAGAGAAGGCCCATGTGCAGCAAAGAAGACCCAGTGCAGCCAAAACTTAAAGAAAAAAATCAGTCATCCAGAGAAAAGAAAAGAAAATATAGTACAAATGGAATAAAGCTAGATCAAGATAAAAAAATATGAGAAATACAAGAGTCTTCAGCCTACTGCCAGAGAGTGATGGGGATAAAAACAGGCAGATAAATTAACAAATAGATGTTGGGGAGAAACATAAGACCAATAGGGCACGTTTAAGTTTATATTTACTACTTGTGAAAGCACAGTTATCAGGCAGCTGAGAGCAAGAGTTCTGAAGTCAGATTCCTGTATTTGAATCCTGGCTCCGCCACTGGTACGAACAGCATTCTGGACAAGTTACTCAACACCTCCACGTCCACTTTCATCTTTTTATAGGTTCATAAAGATCAACTCTATGAGATTATATACATAATCCCCCACACACATCTGGAATAACAAGTCCCCAGAATAATACATGGACAATAAAAAGTAGCTGTTACTACTTAACCAAAGAGTATCCTATCTGTGCTTGGACATTTTTCCTTGTATAAATTCTACTCTGTAATGAAGCACAAGGAAGCACTCAGTTGAGGTTACATTCAATCTCTGATTTAGTTAAGATGTAAACATCTTGGAGACTTTTAATGAGTATTATTTAGAAAAGACAACATATAGTCTAACAAACATTACTTTCAACACTAAAAAGTCCAAAATAAAGCAATGTTCAAAACATGTCTGATGACCAATAGGAATATTGAGATATGTTTTCTAATTGGTTGTACTCTGTTTTCATCTCAGAGGCCACCCACCAAAGGAAAAATATTTGATGGAGAAACTGCATACAGTTTAAATAAACAATTTTTATTACTAGAACTCCAAATCACTTGGCAAAGGCAGTTTTTCATGCTAGAGGTTTGAGTCAAAATGCAAAAGGTTGGTCATATAAATGAGCTAAAATGACAATCTTAGATTTTACCATTGCACTTATTTAAAATTTTGAAAAGAAAAACTAGAGAAAAGCTTCTGTGTGACAGCCAAAGACCCTGGTACAAACCATTACTACAATGATTTTTACTTAATAGGCAACTAGGCAAGTAGGTAACTAGGCAAGTCTCACATGTGTGATTAGTAAGCTTAGGAGGAAGATGAGAGACCACAAAGCAAAAGTATATGCCACACCAAGTTGTAATTTAAGTAACCATTACTACAAAGCAAACACATACTTCATACACTTTTAACATGTGTGGTACCAAGCTACAATGCATTAAGAAACCAAAAAGTTAATTAAACTAGTATAATGATGGCTTATAAAAAAGGCACAAAAAGTACATAGAATATATAGTAAAGGGAACTGAGATCAAATAATTACCAAATGATCATCACAGGAAAAGAATGTGAATCCCAGGCCCTGAGGTCTCCATGTGTTTCCTGGGTTTACATATCTTGCCAATGGTGAACAGTGACAACAAAAATCCTTCTCTTAATCAAGCAGTAGTGGGATATGATACGGGCTATCCTTACAAAGGTTCTTTTCCACACTCATATGAAAGGCATCCATGACTCTTTAAAGGATCCAAAGGAACCAAAGTTTTAGAGTCTTTATCAGAACAAATCTCCATAAGGTTTACTGGGTGTTTTCTCATGCTGAGCAAAGATGATGTCTGTTCCTAATGCTAGTCAGTATCTAGAGTATGATTTGCTAAGCACCAACTTAACTGTGTCATGTGTACTGGAAGGCAGAGTCTTAACCACTGAACCACCAGGGAAGTACTATAAATAATTTGCAACCCATAAATCATTAAAAGGAGATGAGTGTCTTAGATCTCTATATTCTGCTTGTGACTTCTGTGATCTCACCCCCATGCAGCACAGAGGTCCTTTTTTTTTTTGTAACAGTGAGTCACAATTTTAAAAACTCTCCAATCTGAATCTGTACTTTATTTTTTTCATACTTGAAATTTGAGAGAGTCTAGTTGAAGGTCAACTTACTCCACACACTCTCTGGGCAGGCAAGCCAGTGATTTTAATTCTCATTTAAAAAGTGAGCTTTTAAGACTTTAAGGTTTCATCACTGGTCATATCTTCAGACTTTATCACAAGTTTCAACTCAGAATTTATTAGACAACCATTTCAAACACTGTCGAAGGCCTCTGCTTTGTGCTATCATCTTCTAGCCTTTATGTATGTGATTTATGATTCTAGAAACACTAGTCTTCCCATCTGGCCAATTTGAAATGACCCTTCAGTCTATTCCTATTCTCTTGGATAACCTTCCTAATCCCTCAAGTCTGGATCTGACACTGTATATTGTTATTTCTATAGCACCTTAAACTTTCCCAGCAAATCAACAATTATGCTGTTTTGCACATGCATGTTGCTATATGTAACCTTCCACTAAACTGACAGACAACAAAAGGAAAAGACATATCTGCCTTTTGTGGTTATATTCTCCAGATTCAGCCCAGTATATGCCATCATGGGTTCTCAAAAATACTTGTTCAAAGGATGAACAAATGAATGATTTCCCATTCTTACAGGGGAGGGTAAAGTGATATTACCTATTCTTTTAATAGTGGTTTTCGTAAAATACTTCATGACCCCATGGACTATACAGTCCATTGAATTCTCCAGACCAGAATACTAGAGTGGGTAGCCTTTCCCTTCTCCAGGGGATCTTCCCAACCCAGGGATCGAACCCAAGTCTCCCACATTGCACGTGAATTCTTTACCAGCTGAGCCATAAAGGAAGCCCGACTGAGCAACCTTCACTTAGTAAAAAAACTTTAGTAAAATAGTGGTTTAGTACAGTTTGGTTTATTGAGCTTTAGGTTTTAGAGGAGAAGAGAAGGAGCGAAAGAGAGATCAAACCTTCACTGTAGCTCCCGGGAAGAAAAGCCAGTTGCCCGTGTCTACTGGATCCAGATTATCTTCTAAAACAACTTGTCTGTGAGCTGAGTTGATGACGAGGATGTTATCTAAGGCCCAGCAGGCTTCATACACTTCACCTACTTGTAGATTTTCCTGCTTCCACTGAAACTGGACGTTCTCCCCTTTGGCGTCTTCAGGAAGGTAGAGGATGTGGATGATAGTACTGACATTGGAAGGGGCTCTGGAGAGATGAGAATTGGTGCCATAATAAAGTTCAACAGGGTCCACTTTATCTTTCTTATAGATCCATTTTGTTTCTTAATTAAGATTGCGGTTTTCTTATCTTAAAAACATTACACATTATGGATGAAATACTCATAATCTTATACCCCTTAAACCTTTTAATATATGTGGTTATTAAGATGTCCATATTGAGTGATGGGAGTTTAAGTATTAAATGTCTTAAAGAGCTCTACTTTTAACACAAGGCAGGCAGTAAGTATACTCAGGTAAGCCAGTAAATGGATAATTGAAGAGAAAATGGTACACAACTGCTTTGGCTTTTGTAAAAAATCAAAGAGTATCCAGCACAGTATTTTGTAAATGGCAGACACTCAATCTAAAACTATATATTTCATATGATACTAAGAAGAAAAAAAGGAGAAAAACTGTAAAATTATCTTAATTTTAATTCTTACTTTGAAATTTTATATCTATTAGAGATCATTGTATGCTGTATGTTTCAAAATCAATATTTACACAAGTTACTTTATTTCGAGAAAACAAATACTTTTTTTGTTTTGAAAATGTGAGATTTGCCATGAGAATTAAATGTTCTCATTTAGAATTCTTTAGATTTTCAGCCTTTAAATTACCAGTTTTTGCATACCAGTCTTTAAAAACATGATATAATTTAATAGGATTTTTATATCATATCTGCTGAAATCTAGGTCCTTTGCTATTTAATATTTATGTTAAACATTTTATTCCACCAAGTAGAAACCTGCTGTAGTAAAAATGATGGCCTTAGCCAAGATTAAAAGTGGTACTAAAATGCAAACTAGTAGTACCTGGGGCTTACTATAAATCAGTTTTGAAAGGACTAGAGAAAAGCCATATTTTTCACTCACCAATGAAGCACATATAAATCCGTAGGATTGTCAGTGTAGATTATGAATGGTGTGCCTTACCTTTGGGGGTAATCAATTCCCCTTTCCTTTAAAATATTTAATGATGAATGTTTTTAACTTCAAAAATAATTTAAATCAATGAAGATAATATATTTTAGTTTTAGGAAGTGATTGAAAATATGTCCACTCTGATCACTAATGGTAAAGTTGCATTAATGAGAATGATAGTTTGGTGCATGGCCTAAAATTGAAAGTCTTATGTAGTAAAAAATAAATAGAATCAGCTGAATGTGATCTCCATATCTTATAATTAAATGTATATACTCACTATTTGTCATATCAGAAGCATACAGCTGTTATTCAGCAAGAAATATACACTACAATTTATCTAAACTATGAGATATATTAGAGAAAAATGGAGGCATATGAGTAAAACTTCCAGTACTTATGCTGCTTTGCTTAAAGCCATTTATATAAATCAGTACTTAATATGAATGCATTTTCATTATAACTACTAAAAATTAGAAGGAATAGTAAATGCCCTGTTATAAAACTGGCAATTGGCACAGCATGTCAGAGCTTGGCTTGTACCAGGTATCTATATATAATATTTCATCCTGTCACAGAGGGAGAAAATCTATTAAAATCCATGAGTTAGAATTACTTTTCTCAAGTTTTGGCTGAAATAGAACTTGAACTTGTGAGACTTTTATTTTTATTTCAAATACTAGAAATTTTTAATATTAAAGATTAAGAACCTAATATTTATTCTTCTTGCCCAAATAAATCACATTTTTTTTCAATATGGAAATATGACAAGGAAAATAGCATAAAAAATGAAAACTGTCACAGAACTGATGGAAAATGTTCTTCTTGATTCATACTAACTTAAGAACTGAACTGAGCAGAATAACCACTCAATAAAATTTCAAGGTATTTTTTTCCTTTAAATACCTCACCATACCTGAAATTAGCACCCATTCCGAAGTTTATTTTATGATTTAAACTGCACAAAAATGGTTAACATAGTCTGAGTTTTGCTAAATTTAATCAAATATTTTCAACCTGAATGAGCTTCTTCCTCTTTAAGTATCCAACCTCATTTTCTTATGAAGGGATTTTTTTTTTTAATAAAGAAAATGTAATAAATGATTACAACTCACATCACAGTTATAACAGAATTTTAGAACTGGCCTTAGGGAAGTTAGAAGGAAAATTACAGAACCAGAGATTAGATCCAAAAGGCTGTTAACTAATTATCATCACAGACTGGAAGGAATTTAGGTAGTAATCTGATACATTTCTAGGCCTATAAACCAGGTCACAGCCAGGGCACCTAGAGAGACAGATGGTGATGTTATTTTGTGGAGAATCCCATCAGAAAGGTTACTATCTCAAATGTACTTTTACCAAAAATAAATAGTTTATTATAGCTACTACTGACAGTGGGAAGTAGTGAATGGAAAATGACACTTTTAACAACACGTTCTTCAAATAGAGCAGGTAATATGCAGGTAAATATGTGCATTCATGTAATTCAATATAATTAACAACCAGAGTACTTTTAACCATGAAGAATAAAGCCAGTGGTAGAATGAAGATAAACAGGGAAGCAGAAACCCACCTACATCAAAATTTATGATGATACTTTAAATGATAACAAACCTAATTTTCTCAAGCTGAATCCAGTCCGCAGTATTATTCTTGGCATATGACACGATGATACAAGGGTCTGAATAACTATAGCGACATGAACCTGAACCTGTAAGCAGCAATAACAATAAATTTCAAAGTTAAAAAAGAACAGTGTGATTAAATATTATCCTTCCTGATAAATACTCTAGATAATCTTTTAACCACTTAGTTATTTGATCATTTCCCCATTCTTCTAACTATGCTAAAACTTCTTGTGATCTATTCTGATAAATATTAGATAAATAATTTTGAGTCAAGAAAAAAGTAAACTGCAGGTCTCTTTAGAGATACATGAACTTCTAAATTAAATACAAACACTCTGTTCTAGGCCAAGAAATATCTGAATAGTATAGAACGATTAATAATGCCATTATGGTTCTTGCAAGTTAATATTAATAATGATTGTATTAAGTGGCATGACAGTCATTCAGTTGCATGAAGAGTAAAAATAGCATCCTTCTGTGTGTGTTATTTAACTTATGATGTAGCATGCTGCTGCTGCTTAGTTGCTCAGTTGCATCTGACTCTATATGAGAAATTAAAATACTGTAAATTCAAGTACTAAATGAATGAGAACTATTAGAGATATGATTGATATTATTCTACTACAGCCCAACATCAAAGATTTGAAAGAGAAACATTATTTTCCATTGTGGATATCTGGTCATTGTTTTTCATGATTATTTTCAGTATTGGATATATGAAAACCAAAGACAGTTTTAAACTTTGATAAGAATTTGTTTTAACATGTTTAATGAATTCTTATAATAAAAGCACACTCCCCAAAACAGCCATGAAACATAAGCCAGAAGTTTACTGGAACTCAGTAGCAGGGTTTTTATACTGTATTAAAAACAAATGAACCAAACGAAAAAGAAATAGCATATTTTATGTTTAACGTTCCCCCATCTGCTAGAGGAGCCGTCGTTTTAGCAAACAGCATCTGTTGATGGTTTTTATATTTGTAGTACTCAAGAGTTCCAAGCTTTAATCAGACTCATTTATTTTATTTCAGTAGTGTTTAGTACAACACCAGTTAGTTTGCCATCGCCAAGGCTGGCAGTGAGCTAAAAAGGCCAAACAGCAGTTTTCCTAGATTTATTCTCACAGCTAGAATGTCGATGAAAAAAGGCTACTGAAAAGAAAGCTACACAGTAACCTTGAGCTCAAACAGAAGCCTACTCTACCCTGTTTGATCATTTAAGTTCTAGTTTTCTTAAGCAGCTGCTTAAAATAAGTATCAAACTGTGGGGCTGGAAATGGAAATGGCAAGGATTATGTGAGACAAACTTCAACAGAAACATGTATGAAGTCTGGCAGACAATTTGTTTTTCAAAAGGCAGTTCACACTAGCCTAAAGAATGTAAATGGTATTTATGTGCTTCCTTTCTGTTTTATACATGGCTAAGTACTTAAAAGCAAGTGCCTGAGGTGAATCCCCAAAATAGAAAGGCGGGAACAAATGAAAACCAAGAATGTTCCTCACAGAAGCAATTCAGTGGAAATTGTTTACAAATTGAAAAAGAACAGGAAAGCTGGTAAACATTAAAATAAAAAATGTGTTCAACTATGACCCTGATAACCAATATGACCCCTCCCCTATTTTCTAATGTTATCTGACTGTTGGGAGAAAAAGTGTTTACTGTTGTGAGAGTAAGTTCATTGTCGTTGTTCAGTTGCTAAGTCGTGTCCGACTCTGCAACCCCATGGACTGCAGCACACCAGGCTTCCCTGTCTTTCACTATGCCAACTACTCCAGCATTCTTGCTGCAAGAATAGTAAGATAAGTTTATGATGAGCTCATTTAAATAAAAGGTACCTGGCAGGTGACTCACTTTTACTTACTTAGTCATTAAATTATTTTGTATCTAAAATGTTAACATCTTCTGAACCCATCTCCTCCTCATTATTGTCAATGGACTCTCAGTAGCTCTTGCCAGAACTTTGCAATAGTGATTAGCTGTTCTCAGCCTCACATGCCCTAACCCAGCCACACTATTGCCAGCGCTCTTCCCACAAGTGAACTGAATCTTGTTACTTTCTTCTCATAATCCATCAACACTTTCTCAGTCCCTTCAGGACAAAGCAGTACTTCCAGCCCTGGTGAGATAAAGGTCCACGGATCCTACACACTAAAGGTGTACCCTGGAAAACAGAACCAGCCCAGGGTTATCTTTAAAGGATTCCTACATGAAAAGACGGCTCAAAAGTCACAGGGATTCCAACAGAGGAGTGGACAACTAGAAGACCAGGACTGGGGTGTTAGGTATGAATGGACAGCCAGAAGAGAGGCACTGCCCATGCCAAGGGAACTTCCCCTTCTGGAAGAAGCACCAGCCAAGAGAACCAGTTGGCTTTGTATATATACATGCTTCCCTTTGGGGCCACTCCTATCAAACTACCATCCCAAATGGTGCCAAGCCAATGAATAAATGATTCTCCACTTCCACTATGAATATAGCTGTTCCACAGACTGGGTGAATTTCTTCTTCAGACAAGCCCTTTTGAACTGCAGCCCCACTGTCACATAGACTTGGGTCAGTAGAGTAAGATTTGTCCTTGCCCAGACTGAGAATGGCTGCTTGATTCTGTCTGCAGTGAGGGGAGGAAAGAGTTAATTAGCATCCATGTGCCCAGGTGCCTAAAGCCAACCCCAACTCCCTGCTCCCAGAGGCAGTGGTGCAGAGCTATCACATACCTCAAAACACCTCTAATGCAGTGAGGAGACAATAATAAGCAGGTGCTACCTGCAATAGGTACTTCTTTCTTTCCCCTCTTAAATGAAAGATCTTTAATTGCCAAAGTTGATATTTAAAACCAGAAAGGAAAAACAAACTCAAATGAAAAATGCAAGATATTCTCTCATGTACAGGTTCATTTTCTTTCCTTTGGATCACTTCTGATGTAATTGCTATCCTTCACTCTAAAGTAGCAATTTTGCAGAGATTTTAAGAACTGCTGAAGGTAGGAAGATAACTTAGAACTATGGTTATAAAAGTATGGTCCAAGAACCATTAATGGACTTAAATGGGTCTGCAAATGCAAACTCTTTCTTTGGTTCTTACTGGCAAATGAGGAAATTTCATATATTATCAGTTTTACTTATATCAAGGATATAAGCAGCCTACAAAGTGATGAAGGGTTCCTGAAGTATGGAATTCATAAATAAAATCGATGAACTTCTAGAACCCACTGGGAGTCCTAATCCAACAGTCTAGGAATTCTGGTTTCCATGTAGAGGTACACACACCAGGATTACTTCCCCCCAGCTTGGGGGAAGACAGGATATTTATGTTAAAGGTACCTCATGAGTGTTATTTCCAGTTGGTCTTGGTTGGCAATTCTTGATTTAAAATTGACAGATAATTGATAAATGATAAAGTAAATCTACAGTTATTTACTATAACTGTCATTTGCATTACTATTGGTTATTTAGTCAATCCCATAGTGCATAATGATAGATAATTTTTTCAGCAACATTTCTGGACTAATACTGGCTTAAAGTTTGTCTTATACTTAAGACATATATGTACTGCAATATAACTACAAGCCATTTCTACTCTTTTGCTAAAGCAAATACTTACATAATACCTTGAAACTATCTTGCAACAAAACTACCTTTCATTGATGATGTCCTAAATCTGTGCTACTGATTTTATGGCTAGAATTTGTGCTATTTTAATAATTTGCTCTGTATCATCAAATTATGTATAAAAATACTGTTTTAAAATTTTTTTTGGAATTTTAACATAAAATCATATATCTGTGTTCATTCTTATTAGATTAACAATGCACCATATATAGTTAAGAAAAATAGAGACCAGAGAGTAATACCCTCATCTTTTCAATCACTCTACCAGTATACTCTGACTTCCTCCTGTTATAAAGGATGAAGTGCTCTGTTCTAAAGAATGGTGAACATTCTAAAGAATGTGGTCTAGATTCCATCTCCATTGGCTCTTTAAGATTATACAGAGTGAAGTAAGCCAGAAAGATAAAGACCATTACAGTATACTAACACATATATATGGACTTTAGAAAGATGGTAACGATAACCCTATATGCAAAACAGAAAAAGAGACTCAGATGTATAGAACAGACTTGTGGACTCTGGGAGAAGGCGAGGGTGGGATGTTTCAAGAGAACAGCATTGAAACATGTATATTATCTAGGGTGAAATTGATTACCAGCTTAGGTTGGGTGCATGAGACAAGTGCTCGGGCCTGGTGCACTGGGAAGACCCAGAGGGATCGGGTGGAGAGGGAGGTGGGAGGGAGGACTGGGATGGGGAGTACATGTAAATCCATGGCTAATTCATTTCAATGTATAACAAAAACTACTGTAATGATATAAAGTAATTAGCCTCCAACTAACAAAAATAAATGGGAAAAAAAAATAAAAAAAATAAAGTTTTCTAAAACCTGAAAAAAAATAAATAAATAAAAGATAAGCGCCAACCACTGGCTGTGAGATATCATTCAAGCTATCAATAAAACAGAGCTCTAGCACAAAAAAAAAAAAAAAAAAAGATTTCCCCTCTCTTTCTCGTGTATCATCAATTTCTTCCAATAAGTTTCCTGGATCATTCCTATTGTCATACAAACATCATAGAAACATACAAAGCATCTCCCATCTCAAATTTTTTCTTGATGTCACACCTGTACCTTCTGTTCTTTCCAATCTTATTTTTGTTCCACTTATAGGAAAACTTCTCAGAAGGGCTGTCCAGTGATTGTCTCCACTTCATCACAGCCTATCCTCTGTCCCTTCCTCCATTCAGACTTCTACACTCAAGCACTGCCCTGAAACTACTCTTGGTTATGTGGCTGGGCTCTATGTTGCCCAATCAACAGATCATTTCCCCATGTTTAGGGTACTAGACTTAATCAGGATTTGTCACAGTCCATCCTTTCCCCTTAATTGGATAACTTCTTCTATCTTCCACTACCTTCTTGATCTTTCTCTTGCTTCACTGGCTGTTGCTTATCATTCTCCATTGTTGCCCTTTTTGTTCTTGATCTCAAATTGTTTTGGTGGCTTTCTCTTCTCCTCTCTATGTTGCCGCTT